GTTTTGAAGTATTAAATTCCTTCTCAAGTTTAGCCCTTTTGTGGCCCGACCGCCCCAAATGCGACAGAGTGGCACTTGTGTTCTGCGGGCTTGTGTGAGGCAGTGTGAGACAGTGTGAGGCAGTGTGAGACAGTGTGAGGCAGTGTGAGGCAGTGTGAGACAGTGTGAGGCAGTGTGAGACAGTGTGAGGCAGTGTGCACCGTTCGGCAGTTTGTCTCTTAGCTCGAACTTCTTGAGATCTTATTGCACTCTTAATTACAACCTCTGATAGCAGGTCATTTCATTTTCTGGGGCTTCCATTTAGCCAGCGGCATCCAACCAGCTGTATTGCTGTGCCGGTGGATTGACATCCTTTCACACATTCTTCTCCTTTGGAGGTGGAACAGGCCAGATTCGCGGTTCGCATTGCAGTGGGACCCCAGAACGTCCTCAGCCCCGCTAATGCACCATAAGCACTTTTTCACTGGTGAAATAAATACATAAGCAAACCGCCTCTTGTCTTCTGTGGCCCTGTCTGGTTTGAAAACTGCAGAAAACACAGGAAAGTGCTGAGAAACCGAACGTTATGGGGAAAAACCACTAGCAAGAACCTGAAAGCCAGACTCCTTTCAAAGGGGAACTTTACCTTCTCTGGTCAGTTCTGCCCCGCCGCGTTTTCCTATACTCAAGCTGTCTGTCCCAGGGGGTGTACACCACAGGCAGCCTCTGTCTGATCTCCCCCCCCCCTCTGCTGACTATAAACACCAGAACACAGAGCGTGAGGTTTCCTGAAACCTTCCCCTGCATCGACTCCCTCCTGTACTGTTTGACTTGGTTTTAACCGCTGCACAGGAATATCTGGCATGTGATAGCTGCGTCTGGTTGGGGCGGCTCATGGGCCTGTCCGCCTGGCTCCAGCGGTCCCGTACGCCTGGAGCCGACTCCTCTCTTTCTCCCCCGGCACCACCTTACACCGGATCACAACAGTCATTGGTCGGTGTCTCAGTTTCAAGGGGTGGCTTTTGTGGTGGGATTCAGATTCTTTAATGGTAGTCTTTCAGAACGACAAGCCAATTATAGAGCAGAAAGGATGATTGACGAGTCACCTGTCTGGTCCGCGCGTAGGAAGTGGTCTGGGCGGCAGCAGAGGTTAAATGAGAACATTACAGTCAGCGTTGGACCCGCAAGGCCGGCTGCTGCCTCTGCCACGGACTCTCCACGCCGCTCTCATCTGGCAGAAGGTGAAGAACCATCTGAGCCTCTTCTGCCAGGTTCAGCAACAGCTTCTTCCCCGAGGCTGTCAAGACACCTGCTCCCCAACTCACCCCCTACCCATTCCTGAGAGTAAACACCCCCTCCCACCCCCTAACTAATACTGGCCTTTTTAACTTATGATCATTAATCAGTGTAGTGGTATTCGATTCACTGACCTGCTTTAAGCTGCTGTATTATGTATTATTTGCATAAACATTGCGCTGTGTACATAAAACCCTCGCATCCACCCCCCGTTCCTTGCTGGCCTGTTTTTGACTTAAAATGTTGTGAGAACCCACTCCTTTCCACTTTGGGTTCATATGTTGCACTGTGGTTCTGGAGGCGTGCTATTCACTGTAAACCTGGACGCTAGGAGAATATAGTCCTCTATGTTCTTCACTTGACTTTAGGAAATAGAGGCTGGTCAGGAAAAACGTGGAAGAAGGAATAAGGATGGATGTTTTTACTTATTAATATACAGAAGTAACAGTTGTTACTTTATTAGAATATGAATTTCTTTCCATGGTATCCCATCTGTCATTTTGGAACAATGACTAAACAGTCTGCAAAAATCCCTGTAAAATATAGATGTGTCAGTATGTATGCAAATTCAGTGAAAGATGACCATCTTACTTTGCAGTGAAGGCTGCAGTGAAGCGTGATTTACCCCAAAGACCACAACTAAACAATAATGAATGATAAAACAAATAATGAAATAAGAGTTTTATCTTTAAATTAATATAACTCTTTTAATGGTTCAGATTGTTTAATGAAATACATTGCCATAAAAATGTTGGTCGGTGACATTATTAACAGTAGTTAATCAAAATGTATATTTTAAACTGTACGCATGGTCATTTGTATAAAGACGTTTTGCCAGTGATGAATATTTACCTTAGTTATATAAGCGAACCATAGTTATATAAATGTAAGAATATTTACCAAAGCGGTATTTAGTTTAAAACCTCGCTGCAACACTTGTGTCCTGTTTTTCCTGCACTGCTATCGACTCTATCAATCACTGCTACACTGAATGTCTCACACCCTGCAGATTGGCCAGGTGCACCCCTCAGGGTAACAATAACATATGACAGTTTATCAGAAGGAAACATGTTTACTCTAACTTTACATTATTTGTATAATAGATGCAGCACCGTAATACTGCAGTGTAAAACTTAAAGCACTAAAGTGCGTCCACCATGTGACATTATTGACAATGTAGAGTTATGACAGAGTGACCAGCTTCCAATGTAGACATGAACCTGGTTAGCATTGCCATATCTGTCACTATGAAATTTCTACGCTCATTACGTCTTCCCATACAATGACCCACTTTAACTTTGATTTGTCAATTATTGAGCAACCAGATTTATTCTTCCTGTTAATTTGCCTGTTTGTGTATTTGACCGAAAGACTGAGCACTGGTCAGCAAAGTAGATTTAGGTTGACAACCAGGTCCTATTAATAGGAGGAAGGTAGCTTCTGAGGTCAGCGAAAGGCACCCCACTCATTCTTTTGATATGGCTATTTGTACTTGTTTCCTGAGATGACACGTTCTGCATAATACAGGGCACCTTGTGTGATACCACGCTAAGAGTTAAGCCCATGGAAGAGCTGAATGGCAGAATTCTGGTGGCTGAAAGTGCTCTTGTGAAATATTTAAGCCCTGAACCAGGCAGATCGTATCATATCAGTCGGTAAAACCCAACAGTCTACTGACAATATGTATAGTTATGAAAATCATGTCTCAGTCGCTAAGCTGTCAAGAGATACCTTGCAGTTTAATTTGATTCCTTTTCTCTCTTGAATAGAGATAGTGGGACCCTGTGAATGTGATCACTGCGTGAATGGTGTAGGTTTAGGGGCAATTTGCATAGTAGTGTAACAATTCGTACATTCTCTTCATTGAATGAATAGGATACTGCTGCATTTTCGACATGTCACAGGACAGTAGGCATCGAAATTCTGATATTACAGCTCATATGCAAGCAAGAATTGCACCAATATATGTATACTTATTTGTCCGGTAGACTCACCATCAGTAAAGAGTAAAACTATACGAAGGCTGGTAACACTTTATTGGGAAGAGTCTGCCTACAGAATATTTGTAGCACTTCTGCAACGTAGTTCAGATTCAACGATTCAACTGGTTCGCTGTCTGTAGATGATTAGCAGAATACACAATCTACAGAGTGTATGTAATGATTCATGAACATACCTACATATTCGTAGAATAATTTGATTGAATTCCACTACTCACACGTTCAATGTTATACTAATTGTTGAATCTCAACTAATAAGTTGTTGAAATGTTACAAACACTCTGCATGCCCTCTGTAGGCGGGCTATCCAGATCAAGTGTTACCAAAAGGCTACATCAAAGAGGCCAAGGAGGAACATATAAGTCTTTTTGCTATGTATTTGGTGAGTGTATCTGTTCAGTTTTGGTAGTTATATTGAAGAAACATACCAGTACATTAATGAAAAAATCCATAGATTCTGCAAGGCAGCAGATGCGATGCCTCCTCTCTTGTGTGCTTTGAAGAAGGAAAATGATACGCAGGCCTAGTACCCAAGAAGCCAAACATACAGTCAAAGTTTCCCAAAGCGAACCACAGGGTGGAAAAGAAGCTCTTCCTTAGGGGTCGAGTGTAGTCTTCAAGTTCTCCATTGGAATATGGATTTTCTTTTTCCTTTATCTCATGTCTATACAAATCTCAGTGTACAGTAAGTTTATATGGAATCTCAGCATTTAAACAGATTACTAAAGTACCAGTAACAATGTGGTATTAATGTCAGTTGTCTGTAGGGTTATTAGGGTTATTACTGTCTGTTATTAGGAGGCCAATACTGGCCTTTTATTTCGAGGTCAAGAGTAAAATGTTAATGTTTGATTTTAAACAATTAAATGGGTTTTAAAAATGAAATAGGAAATATAGAAAGGAAGCCAGTGTGTTATTCATTGGTTCATTAGTATTCTGTTTGGTTATTATTACCTTTTACAGTGTTCTGTTCATTGACGGTACACCAAAGCTACATCAGTAGTTGAATTAGGCTTCTGCATTGACCTAATGCATCATGACGATGCGGATCTCTGTAAAAAGTTTATAAGGGTCTATTAGGAGTCACAAAGTAATCTATTAGAACTGTTATTGCAACTGTTTCATTTAAATTACTGTTTATTACAGAGTAATGTAACAGAATGAAGATAACAAATGACACACATTGTATGTGTTGTTGGGTGAAAATGTTACTGAATGTAGAATTTTTCTCATGTTTACTCGGTTTTTGCAAGAAAACATGATTGGCTGTAGGCTTAGGAAACATCGGTATTTTTGCAGAATGTTTGTGAATACAGGCTGCACCTTATACAGTATATTAATGTTATTGTTGATGGTGATGATGACTGAGAAGAGAGAAACAGCAGCAACAACAATGACAACAACAACAATAATAATAACAATAATAATAGCCATTTCAACAGAGAAGACTATTATTATTATTATTATTATTATTATTATTATTATTATTATTATTATTATTGTACGACAGCTCTTGTGTTTATAGCATAGTTGCTAAGATTTGTTATTGTGTAATGATTATGTGTTTCTCTTGCGATGCCATTTATTGGTGTTTTATGTATAAACTTGTCAGAGGAACAGTCTAATAATAATGCATGTGTGTATTTGTATACGGAGGTGTATGGCTGCTATATTACACCTTAAATGTTGCATTTTAATTATTTCTGTAATGATTCTTTCTCACAGATTCAAATTCCCGTTCAAAGGAAAAGTATTCCATTCACAAGCTATTGGATGACAGCATTATTTGCCCTTGGCAACTGAAGATGATGTTACTATGGAAACAACTTGTGATTCTATCAGTCATTGGCTGCCTGGCAGGTAAAATCTTGCTATTTCTTTACCACTGATTATATGCAAATGTGTTACATTCAGTTCATATGTATGTTCTGACACAGTGTTACTGTCATATTCAAATGTACAGTTTTTAATGTCTCTGAGATACTTGGTCTTCTGCTGAAAACTTGCTGGATAGTATACAGGGCCCAGGGATTATATGCTGGAACTAACAAATTAGAATTAAAATTGAAATACTAAATAAGCTGGTATTTATCAACAATAGATAATTTTCTTTTGTAATTCAAAAATACTTTTTCTCAGGACCATAATGGCTGTGTACTAAAAAAAAACGTCACAAAAATTTTCATATCAGGAATATCACAACAAAAGTTGTCATATTTCTGTTTTCTTCTTTTTAAGGCTCTTCATTGTTACTTGCCATAAAAAATGCTACACATTGATATGTAAATATGCATAACCACAGTGGTAATGCTGTATTTTATATGTATTGTTGCATTGTGGCTTCCGGTTTAATCTAATTTAAACAGAATTATTTAAAAAGACTTATTACACCTAAACATAAAAACACATTGGAAATGGATACATTAAAAAACTGAAAAAGATGAATTGGATCAGATGCTGTTGTGTTTATAGAACATCATTTTTCATCACGTCACACAAATCTTCTTTTTCATAATGCTGTGTATGCTCTGTGTCTGAGAGGGAACACATTACGATGCATCGTCTTTCACAGCCAGCTACACCATGCAAATGGATTTAATATCATTTATGAGTATTTCATGACTTTAAAGCCACTTAACATTTTATACAAAAATGCATTTTACTAAATGAAAACATCTAAGGCATTTGATACATTGCAAAAAGAATACTATAATATACTGCAATTATAAGGTAATTGTAATGGCATTTCATACTGAAAAAGTTTAAAGTTATCATTTACTATATAATAGGGTTGTAAGTACATGTAAGGCTCATGTATCATGATTTTAGCTTTTCAGAGATTTTTATATACTATAATTCTTGTTGGGCTGTTTAGTATAAATATGATGAATTATAATCTGTTATATCTGTTTAGAATTTAACTTGTTCAGCTGCAGTTTGCACAGAAGTGTTTGCATTTTTTAAATAAACTTCAAAGACATAAGTGACATAGGCTTCCAACACAAACATTATTTACAATTATAAGATGGGTTGGTAATCCCTCGCTCCGTATCAGATGCTTAACACGTCACATAAATTTTCATACAGATTGAAGATTAACATTAAGTTGCTAACTAGTATTCTTCGAGGAGCGGACACTTGAGGGACCCCCTTTGGTAAATTTAGCGTTATGGAAAAGGCACTTAGAACCTCAAAAGGGAGGTGCTTCCAATCATCTGCTCAAAAGGGCTGACAATGCCCCCAGATCTGACCTAGGTAGGCTTTGTGTAGTTTATGCGCATAGATCCATACATGATGAGGATCCCTACTGGATGATTCCTGAACGGATTGTTTCATTGTCTTTTCCATCAGACACACAGTGGTGCTTCTGTTTCTGTTAATTATATGGTTCATGATATGAAGCTGCATACTGATGTCTCCTTATATTTTATATTTACTGGGTTAAACTAACAACAAATGGCTTGTTGCAGGTTTCAGAATCTCTGCTGCCCTGCAGTCAATCTACAACAGCTTGTGTTCCTCTAATATAGTGTTTCCCAATCCGGTTTTCGGGGACCCACAGACAGCCCATGTTTATGCTCCTATCGGGAGCAGGGAGGGAGCAAAAAGGTGGACTGTCTGGCAGAGAGCTGGGAGGGAGCAAAAAGGTGGACTGTCTGGCAGAGAGCTGGGAGGGAGCAAAAAGGTGGACTGTCTGGCACAGAGCTGGGAGGGAGCAAAAATTTGGACAAAAATTAGGATCAGATTGCTCTAACAATTTCTGAGATGATCCAGAATTCACCTCTGTTCCTGTGCACACCACGATTAGAAAATCCCAGGTGTGTAGTATATACAGTACTGTATTAAACAAAGCAATTTAAAATGGCCTGTTGCGTTGGACTGTACTGTTGTCATTACTTTTTATATGCTAGCCTGTGCAGCAAAATATGGGCAGTTCTTAATAATATCAAACCCTTGAATATTAGGGAACATCTTCAAATATGTTCATTACAGCCATTTGTAAGTGATTTGGCTGTCATTTACTTCATTGTCATAAAGATGTTGTATTGTGTAATAGTACAGCAGGTTTATCTATCTCAACAAACACTACAACGAGAAAAATGGGACATTCAGATGAAGTTTAAATAATGAGAGTATTTGGTAGAAATGTACTTAAGAAGGATAATTATGGTGTGCTGGTTTCATCTTACTATATTTTCCGGATTTGCTTGTGGCTTCAAAAGTGTAAAATGAACTGATTCGAAGGCAGGAAATCTCACTTGAATATTTTACTCCCGTTTGTTAAAAGAAGATAAAAGATATGCTTCAGGCCTAGTGCTAAACACACAAGCTGCTGCCTTGATACGTTCCTGCTCTCTGCAGCTCTGCGCCCCCTCCCCCCATCTCTCACTTACGCTCCATCCACATTCAGTCTCAGACAAAACAGACCCTCTTCTCAACCAATACAAAACAGTTGAGTTAAACTCTTACATTATCCTATCATTGCTGAAGTGCATTACAGCGATTTGAACTGAATACTATTACAGTCACTCTGTAGACTGATGTTGCTGCAGATGCTGTTCTATGTACTTAATGTAGGGTTATTCATGGGTGTAACATGATTATGGATTTGCCGTCCATTTTGTACTGGTGTATTTAACAAACATTTTTGGCACCGCATGTTAAGTGCAATAACATCAGGGTTCGAGGTGTCCTGGGATGCACAAGGATGTCAACCCCCACTGGAAAAAATGACAAAAACCATCCCCTTCTGAAATTATATCATCCCCCTCTCCACTCCTCTAAATTGTTCTGTGTAATTTTGCTCACTTAAAAGTAAATCTCCAGACTATATAAGGGTTACAACATAGTGTAATTCCCCCACTCAGCAAAATGTATCGTCATGGAATCCCCGCGACCATGCCATCCCCCTTGAAATATTTTTACACCTCGATCACTGACAAGCATTCAGTTATGCAAAGCTGAAAATATGACACACCACAGTGATTTAAGAACTGTTAAGTTAAATTGTCACTGTGTGCCGTGGAATATGCCAGCCCCATATGTCTGCTTTCATTTCAATGTTTCTTCACATCTGTAATTTTGTATTGCAGGAAAAAAAAAACAAAATACATTTTTAACAATTAAGGAGCCGCATGGTGATATACTGCATCGTGTATCTCTGCTCTCTTGGTTCAGTTTTCCAGAACTTTCCACCAAAGGATGCAAACACTTGCAGGATTCAGTCCCCCAGTACCCATGCGTTTAGGGTGTTTCCTTTCATGAATATCTGAATGTCACTTACTTAATCAAATCTTAAAAGCTGCATCCATCGTGTTACATAAACAGGAGGACAAACATGGTGTCATTTAAGCCTGAACGGATTTCTGACGGTGAGTGTTATGTTAGCGATGAGCCAGGGCAAATTAAACAGCTCCAGCACAGTCTCCGCTGTGAAAGATTCAATTAAAATGTTCAGTCAATCTGAAAATTGCTTGTATTTTTAGGATGCGTTGTTTTGGATGCATTCTCCAGGGATACAATGACCTGAATAGGCATTTTTGTTTAATATTAATATTATGTCCGTTTATGTGTTTGATTTTAATGTTATTATTTATGCCTATATATGCAGTACAGTGTGAAAGTATTAGACAGTCAAAGAGAATGTTTCAGGCTATTTATCTGGGTAGTACATGCATATTTGCTCAGAAAAAAAAAACACAATTTAACCTAAGAACATATGCAAATTAACAGTAACACATTAAAAAATAAGCAAGAATTTCTTCTGTTCTTCAAAAAATGACTGATATCTTGTTGAATGACTAGATGAACACCACTCTGGTTCCCAAGCCTCTCCTCAGGGGAGCCCCAGACATTACATTTCTTCACATTTCTCCACCAGCTCACTTTATTAATTAATTTCAGAATCAGAACCAGAAATTTGATTAGTGAAATAACTTGGTGAGGTCTTTATTTTCTAAACAATGTGGGGTAGTGGTGAAGTCAAAAACACACGGGTGTATGTTACGTGTACAGTATACACAACTGCCGCAAACACTGGTGATCTTAGGGGAGGTTTTGAGAAGGCTAAGCTGACACACTTTGACAGACATAATTACAGTTTTTTCCAGTCATTTTAATCAATACCATGTCTCAATACCATGTCCACTTTTTCACAACACTTAACACATGCACCGTACCAGTGGACCATGTGAGCTAAACTATGTATACTGTACGTTTGCATTGCTTTGACACAATATGCATTCAATCACCACTTCCCCCAAATTTCATGAATACTTCTCTCAGTCAGTGTTCGCCGCCAGCAAAACTTTGTACGACTACAGCCGATTTTTCAGACGTTTAGATAATCTGTTCAAAACAGTTAACTTTCAGGTCAAAACCTAATGAAATTTGGAGCACTGTCAATTGAAATATGCTGCATTTTGACAGACAAAGGACACTATGCACTTGCACTAACACAAATAATTATGTTTTTAGCAGAAATTTCGTATTTTTGTTTTTGTTTGCTGCTTTGTTACCATCTATACGAATGAGGCCATGGAGTGCCCCCCCCCCCCCCCCCTTTCCTTTTTGCAAGGCAACACAATGTAATCTGTGCAAAAACAGTGGGTATGGCAACACATATATTACAGTAAAACATTTACATTTATTCATTTAGC